CTTTTATCATATCATTTTCTAAAATCTTTTTTTATATTGCCTTTTAAGTTCTAGTTCAAATGTTCTTTTCCATAAACTAAAATGCACTGTGGTATTTAAATGTCAACATAACATATAAATACATATTATTCGAAATACTGTTTTGCATTTAGTTTAGGGCCATGAAATGTATACATATAATCCATAGCTATTGTAAGCAACAGGGAGATTGTCATAAACATAAAATGTGCCCATCAGTGCATGAAATATAATGACTTCTTGAATATGACACCACACTGACAAGAAGAAAAAAAGATTGAACGCAGCAGAATTCAACAATGAAGACGCTTTTCATTCACTATTGACTTTTTTTGATTACAGGCTAAACTGCTTTAGGCAGGAAACATTACACTGCTGTTTGTTTGCTATCTGGTCCCAAAGCCAAAAGCAGCCAAAGGACCTTTACATGCACTCTTCAGTCTTTCATGGCTCTGCGGATTAGGACTTCCGCGACAAATGAAAATATATATCTGCTGGCTGCTGACCACATGCGCCTGCAAGCCGGATCTGCTCAGCATTTTATAATTATTTGGAATAAGCGTGGCTTTTGTCACAGCTGGGTGCTTTGCTTTGATTTGTCACAGTTTGGGGTGAAGTGAAGTGAATGAAAAATAAAAGCTGGGCAGCAGCGGGGGGGATGCAGGCTCTGAGAGAGGAAACTTTAAGAAAGGTCAGTTTTCTAAAATAGTACAAACACAGTTTTCTTAAGTGCAAAACATTTACATGCAACATGGTGGGGGAAGAAATGTTTAGCCTTCGTGCTGAGTTGTATGTGTTTTAGCACTTTGATTTTAAAAAGGTAAAATGACTCCTTCCTTATAAGGCTCCTTCTCGAGCAGTGATGATAACCCATTACAGTGTTTGATAAAATGGCAGACAAGTCACTGTAGGTGGTGATGATAAACTGCACTTCTCCCTTTTTATTGGAGAAAATAACTTGCTTTATTTGTTCACCGCCCACTGAGATAAATATCTGTCACTATCACATTAAACACTGTTTAATTTGAAAGTGTCACTAATTAACACTTTACATATTAACAATGAATGAATGTGTTAAGTGAATGTGGTCCAGTCCCAATCAAAAGCTCACAGTGAATGTTCCCCATCCCTGCAGCATGACTTCCTGTTTGGTTTAATCTCAACCCCGTTTCCAGCTGTGACAGCTGTTTCAGAAAGCCAGCAACCAAACAGCAGACAGACAAAGTTAGTGTAACAAACAGCTGACATAGATCAGGCAAAAACTAAGACGCCTGGCCATTCAAAATCAAGGTAAGATTCAAAGTCCAAAAAGGTTTATTACAGAAAAATGGCAGTCAAAACTAACAGATGAATACGAAATCGTCAAATTAAGCTGACAGGGATCAAGCAGAATTTCAGATCAGGAATCGTGTTTAGATTGCTGGGGAGCTTAGTTAAAGGCACAGGCTGGTAATTAAAGTATATTGAGCAACTTATTTCCCATACATATAAAACTAGGAAATGAAGGGTATGGAATGAGATTGATAACACTAAACATGTGTCTGTATTTAAAAAGTGCTTCGAGGAAGTTAATAAATATGTCAGAACTTGACCACACTAAATGGGAGAGAAGTTCTGATACAAGTAACTATGAAAAGCATTTTATTTGCACCATTAATTCCCTTGTCATTTGTCTGTGATTTTAATATTTTACCTATTTGAAACAAATGATTCTGATTCTTGCGTTGGGACCATTAAGCAGTTGGGGTTAGATTAGTATAGTGTTTGATTTGTGCTTTTAGCCTCTAAATGTTTCTGTATAACACATGAACTCTCTTCAATTCTACATGGTGTAATTTATATTGTAAATACTTTCCATTTAGTGTCTGGGCCCTTGTTCTCAAGCTATATATTTGATTGTCCCATTATTACATATCTCCATTATTTGTAATTATGTTAAATGTTTGTGAATAAAATGGCTTGATACAGTGATTGAGTTATTGATTGGTATATTGACTGATTGGGGTAATGTTAATCAGGGGGATAATTGCACTGTACTGCATCACTTGCAAAAACGTTGACATTCAATGTATCCATGGTCTGCAGAAACGTACAATGGCAAAATAAATTCCTGTCAACTGAGCTGCTAATTTGGTGATGCAGATCATGAATGAAAGGCGCTACAGGAAAGCAGGCGGGGGCGACTTTCATGAAACGACATGAAAGTAAACAGGGAAAGCAAAGAAAGAAGCTGAATGAATGAACACTGTACACTCTATTCATGCAATGATTTCATTCACAAGTTTAAACCTATTGTTTCTCCTTTATGTTCCATATTGTTTAAACCTATTGTTTCTCCTTTATGTTCCATATTGTTTAAACCTATTGTTTCTCCTTTATGTTCCATATTGTGCACAAAGTCCTTATTTACATTTATTTAGTAGCTTTACTCCTAGTGACTTTCAGACTGAAATGTCTATTAAAGGGGACCTATCATGCAAATTGCACTTTTTGATGTCTTTTATACATATATATGTGTCCCCGGTAGGGATGGGTATCGTTAGGATTTTATAGATACCGATACCGATACTGCTTATCGATACCGGTATTTTTCGATACTCTTATCGATACTTTTCAATAATTTGGTGCTCAAAATTATAGACATGATTACAAGATGTGAAGATTAAACAACAGTCATTTTATTGTAATTTATTTTTATTTATTATTTAATGTAACTTTTTCAATGTCATACCAAGCAGGTATGTGTGTTTGACAGTGTGTCTCTGGAAGGGGGGGCGGTAATTAGGGGCAGTTCATAAATCCATGTAAACATGACCATTATTCAGTTAAAACGAGATGCTGCGTGCGCACATCCTAAACCGGAAGCTCCGGTCGGCTAACCATTATAATCCGTTTATTGCGTTTATTATTTATAATTGTAATGATGGATTATCAGTAATCATTTTAAAGTTACACAGAGACATTGGATTAACCGTTGTTATGCCCTTGAACACAACATTTGATCACAAAACAGCAAACATAATTATCATCATGGCTACGTAAAGTGAAGTTGTTTTCTTGCTCTTTCCTGGCTGCTAGTTCAGTGAGTTTTGGTCCTACAGTGATGAGACTTATACCAATGGAATCTGTGGAATCTCAGCTTTCATGTGATATGGCTGTGGCTCAGTGGATAGTGTGATGGACTTCGAATCAGGGGAAAGCAAGTTCGAGTCCCACTGCAGTCAGCATGTCGTTGTGTCCCTGGGCAAGACACTTCCCCCCCCCCATATGCTCCTGTGGGGATTGTCCACAATACTGAATGTATGTTAGTCGCTTTGGATAAAAGCGTCTAACAAATGACATGTAATGTAATATGTCGTTTGTGCAGAAAACATGACGTAGAAAAGTTCGCTTTTGCCAGTTATGTGCTAAAGTAGCCGTTAGCCCCGTTAGCCCGTTTTGCTAAGTGTTGATTTAGACTCTTGGTGTTGGACTTCTGTTCCATGTAGGTAAAATGGTTAATATCGTCTGTTAGCTGAGTTTCTTCCCGTTAAGTGGGTATGCATCATTAATAGGTTGTTAAATGTTAAGAAGCCTTGAGACGCTGTTTCTAGCAAGATGTTGCGTCTGCCCCTATGGTCTGCCCCCGGGAGTCTCACAATAATAAGAGCACTGTTAGGAGAGATGACGAGTGGCATTCACAGTGGCCAATCAGAGTGGTATTTAAACCGGATACGTCACACGGGATGAGGGATCCCAACCAACCAGAATTGTTTAAACTAAGGAAGTAGCGTAATTCATATACCGATAGCAGCACCGTTTGTCCAGCGATTTAACGGTATACCGATACCGTCCAATCGGCTACCGGTACTGACTTAGTACCGGTTCTCGATACCCATCCCTAGGTGTGTCAGAGAACTCACGCAGCGTCAAAAAATCAAACCCTCTCTCTTTTCCTCCGTACCCAAATCTCTAAAAACGGGGATTCAACGGAGTTGATCCAGATTTGCGGCCGATATGACGTAATATCGGCGGCGGACCCACGGCACTATCAGAAAGTTGCTATCAGAAACAATGCCCGACTGTTTTGGACGTAATATGGTCGGTGTTTACATTAGCATCGGTAACACTCAGAGCTAACCTGTACTGGAGAGCATGTGTGTGAAGAAGCAGGAAATAAAAAGGAACTCACCTTGTGGTATAACCGGCAAGAGAGAAAGCCTTTGAGTATCTAAGTCCTTTTCCAGCTCTGCCATAAGCCAGTTTGGAAACTTAACTCTGAAGTGATCACTCAGAAAACAGAGCAGATTGAAAGGCCTTCAAAAGGTGATAGCAGGAGCCTGAGACAGCTGACTTTGTGTGCAGAATAATGATTATTATTTCTAAATGACAGACATGTGCAGGATTACTGACAGACTGTCAAAAGCTCTCATTTACATTTCAGCTGAACACTTCATGTATCCTGTTATGGGGGCAGTGCAAACTTTTCATGAGGTCAAAGCATTTATGTTGACATTTCCCATTTTTAATGGAAAACCTAAAGCATTTTCATGTGTTTAAACCATTAAATTGCATTTAAATAATTGAAACATTGTTGTGTTGTGGTGTATAAACGAATATCTATTATATAGATTATATCAAATTACATCTGCTTTCTGCTGAATAGTTTTATATTACTGTATGTTGTTTTTTATTGTATTTGATCCCATTTATTTTAAGAAAAGGGTCACCAGAAAATAGTTTAATACAAATCCAAAATGCCATGTCTAAAGCCCCAATATGGATAAAAAGTTACCATAACATTTCAGAATTTATATATGTTTGTTTTTTTTAAAACAGCTGTATAATTCCAACAGTGTTTTAGGCAATCAAAACTTGATTAATCCCTCAAATGAATACGGCAAAATGGAGCTTGCAATCCTACGAGTAAACATTGAGTAATAAAAAAACATAAGAGTTGTTGATAAATGTGTTTATTGAACATAAAACATTTACATGCAGCAGTAAATTATCAGTCATCATTACAAAATCCATGCTTATCCTCAGGCAAGCAGCTGCCCAAACAGCGACGCTGCATAACGGATATAAATGATGAAGTTAGACACTGAGATGATGTTCCACTCAGTTTATTGAAGCCTCCTGAGGGTGTAGAGGATGTTTTGTCCTGCACAAGTGATGCTGGGTTTGTGGAAAACAAAATGAAAGTCCTCAGTCTTTCAGATGCACTTGAGCAGGTAGGAGTTGCAGTTGGCTCCTCGGCCGCAGTCACACAGCTTCCCGATGCGGGGCCCGAACTTCATGGCACACCGGTCCCCCATCCCGCACTGAGGGGAGGTGGAGAGGACATTAATAAACAATAAAAACTTTGAAAAAGGTTGTTCAATTTCCAAAGAAGATTGGCAACACTGGCAGGAAGTACTTCATTATTAATATTAATTGACACCTTAAGGTCTTTCCATTATACAGTATATTAGATTTGAGTCATTGTTTCCATTCTCAGTTATTCTTCTGATTTATGACACAAGAGAAAGAGGGTGACATGTTAATCATTCCAGCATTTTTCAGAGGAATAATTAAGTCTTGTTCATTAGCTGGTTTTGTCTCATTTAGAAGGATTAAAGCTTTAAATTGCTCTCTTTCAGCTAATTGGAGTCGGGCAACAAGGCTGTAATTGCGCCAAGTAAAACTTTTCTCCTTATCTTTTAATTACTGGTTTAATTAAACAGCAGTGATGGAGTAATGCACACAATGTATAGGAATGTCTTACACTAATCTTTAAATTACAAAATTATAGGGACATAAGGTAATTGCTGCATCCCATAAATAATGACGTTACCAGTGCGATGGTTCCTCTCTTCTCAGTGGAAGGACTCCGGTCATGCATCCTGCCCAGCAGAGCCTCCAGTGCTTCGATCTGCTCAGCAAAGAATAGATTGCAAAGAAAAAAAAAAAGGTATCCAATTCAAGCTGTTTGTGAAAGTTCATATCTAAAACATTGAAATATCAACGTAACCCTATTGGTTCGGGTCAAATCTGATATATTTACTACTTTCATCATCATAAATATTGTCTTTTACATTTGATTGCTTCAAGGCCTTATGATATCCTCCACAGCAGGCATTTGAACATAGAACATTGATTTTGTATATTCACTGCAGTTATTCATGGACACCAGTAGTCTGAGACATAGTTTACAGCTTAAAAGGGTGTTGTGAAAATATGTTGATGATAAATGTCATTAATACATTTAGAGAAGTTAAAACAGAATGGCCAAAATGTACAGGGAACACCAAAATAAGGGGGGGGGGGGGGACAAACACAACAGGAGGGTCCAGTTAGGTTTCTTTCAATTAATAATATACTTTTTTAAACTGTAGGCCAGTGTTCTGTGTCTGTAATTCTTTATTGAGGACCCAATTAAAACCATTGTGCCATTCTATATATTGTTCATCTTTTACACACATTTACCAAAGTTCCATTTGATGGATTTGTACCAGAAGTTAAAACAATGGAGTGTGGGTTTGAACAGATTAGCTGCAGTATGATGGGTAGGTAGAGTTTAGGTGGAAAATCAGTGTTAAAATAAGGTTGAACAAATAACCTCTGACCAATACATGAGTACATTTCAATGAAAACTTCACATGCATCCTCATTTTAAAGACCAAGTACAACCAACGTTTGAATTCCTATCATAAAACGTTTACTGTAAATCTATTGTGTATAAAACATAGGTTTAATAATGGTATATTTCTGTGAATGTTTCCTATTTTGCAGGGAAATAAATATTCTATAAAATCCAAAGAAAATAAACAGGGGATGTGCAAAGGCTTTTTGCACACACTTTTGCAAAAAAAAGCTAAATCTGATAGACACATGCTTATACACAATCTTCAACAGGTTGTTCATTCTGCAAAAGTTTAGCTTCAGGGATCTTTATCTTTTGAACCACATTATTAACTTTTCTCCATAAACCAACACGGGTGGAGCATGTCCAGATACTGACCAGGTCTCTGTCTGTGGCCGGCTCGGGTCTGTCCGCTCCGAAGTCCTCTGCGGACACTTCCTGTGACGCCTGGCCGTGACACAGGACGGAGAGCAGGCCGAGGAACAGCATCCCGCGGAGCATCCCGGAGCTATCCGTGGTGCTGCCGGAGGAGGAGGGCGGGGGTCCTGGCAAGAGGCAGCAGATCAGTGGTGGTGGAGCAGAGAGTCGTTGCAGGTCCACAGGAGATCTCCCTCCAACCACCGGACATGCACCACTCTTATATGGGCTCGCATAGCCCCGCCCGAGAGGCCACTGCAGGAGGAACATGCAGGAGAGCCTGGGCTGCAGGGTGGGGAATTCCAACACACTCTGTCTTCTAAATTATATTGGCTTTCCGGATATGTGAATATATCTATTGGAAACTCGTCTTCTCTGCAGTGGTGGAAAGTACTCAAGTACTGTACTAAAGTAAGGTACTGACTGAGGAACTAATACTTAAAGATATTGACATGGAATAATAGGTTAAGATCTCTAGCTGTAATGAACAAGTTAATCTATCAAAGATCGGAAACAGCACTTTTATATATTTAATTATGGGATAGTGTAGAAATACACTACAAAATGTAAGTAAAATAAATAAAGGCATTCAGTGTTAAAATATTACGATTCATATATTTGCCCAATAAATTGCTTAAAGGTGGGGTAGGTAAGAATGGAGAAACCAGCTCGAGTGCGCTAGAATTTGAAAATACACAACCGGAAGAAATCTGCCACTTCCTTACAGAGCCCCTCCTCCAACACACACGAACGCGCACATGACCAATGAGGGCACAAGATAAGTTTGTGCACAGATGGAAGGCTGACAGTCAGGTAGGCCATCCAGTTATTTTAGCCTGGCTGGCTAAAATGATTGGTCGTGCTTTTTACAGTACTACGGCTTCCACAGATGACATTTTTTTATGGATTTTTTGTCAAAGCACTTAAGATATTCATTGCTATCGGGATGTTAAGAGCATTCCATGGAATATAACAAAAAGTGTATCTCGAGCCGGTTTCTCAAACTTACCTACCCCACCTTTAAGAAAGGCAACACAAATCCATTTAGAATATTTAATATAAGATTAACTTTTTCTTTGAATGTGAAGGTATTTTGCTAGTGTATAATTGAAACAGAGTGCTATTTAATGTTTTTGTTTTAAAGAGTTTAATCATTATGCATGGAATCACAGTTTAAATTGACTTAAAAATGCTATCTGATTCAAGATGCATGATTACTAAAACGTTTATTTTTGCATTGACAAGCTGAATTACTCCAAAGGCTGAACTTTCATCAGGAAAAGAAATTCCCTATTTTATGAAAGGTATAAGCTGAAGCCTCAACTGTGGTGGCTGACAGGGGCCAACGTGCTACAACGGCCCATTAGGAGAAACTTTACAAAGCAATGCAGAAATAAAAACATGAATATGCCGAAACACATGCAAATGAATAAAAATCTTCACCAATTCGACAAAACAATTCACAGGGTTAAGTGTGTGTCGCAGACACAAAACAATGCAAATAAAAATAAAAGCTCAAAACACACTTGGAAACAGGGACTCTTAAAAGTGATGCACACAGCTGGGACCGGACGCTTGTTGACGTTCGGGGATAAACTTGCCAATAATCCCTGTCACTGGAAATGTACCTAAAAAACTATAGTTTATGCAGCGCTTCCAATGATTTGGGCCGTTGTAGCTTATTTGCCCCTGTCAGCCACCGTACTCATGACTCCAGACTCACTTTACATTTTGTTAAATTAATAAATTAAGCATCATCTCAGAAAACCTAAAAATTAGAAACCTTTTCCGTAAATAGTAAACTTTGTACTGCAGTTGCATTTACATTCTTTATTTAAAAACAGATTTTATTTTCGTTTTTTTGTTTTTATAAATACATTGCAATTCGGATCACCAGATGTAAACAGACACAGAGAGTAAAGCAAAGCATTTGCTTTTATTTGTTTTGGGGCAGGTCACTCTACCACCATGTTTTTCGGAGAAGAGATGGGGGGGGGGGGGGGGAGGATGGCTTTCATGTATTTTTAATCCCTCTCGTAGTTTCAATGCCAAATTGAAGCAGATGGAAAATTATTCAGTGTTTTTACTTTCGTTAAAAGCAATTTTCTGGACAATCAAAAGGCAAAATAAGCACTTTAAGTTGTCTAGGATATCTTTAAAATAAAAAGCACAACTCTGCAGATAACAGTGTGGGAATTACATTTACATGTTTAACACTATGTGACCTTTCCTGAAATGTCAGGAACATAACATTGTGACAGATGGTATTTCTTTATTAAACACCGCAACTCAAATACAAGTCTTTATATTGAGGACTTTTCAAATGTGTGGTTGTTCAAGTATATACTCCTAAGTACTGTCCTAAATATGGATTACTGACATTTCTCTTTATTTTCTGCCATGTCAGCTGTTTAGAATCCGTAGATGTCTGAGATGGTGTTTTCACTTGCAAGTGTTTTTCTATTTTCTTGATTAAATTCAGTCCGATACCTGTTGGGTATCTTTTAACCATCTCTGTATCTTTTAATGAAGTGCCTAATGTGTAGGTACAGGAACGGATCATTTGGGACTAATGCAGGCCTCAGGACAAGTTGTTAATCAGACCGTTTATTGCCCTATATCTCTTCCTGTGTCCTCGGATCATTGGATGCATCATTCCTTGTTGTTCCAAGATGGAGATCTTACACAAAGGTGATAAAGCCTTTGCAGAGATTCAAAGACTGTGGGGACATGCTTGTGGAGATCAGGTGGGCAAACTATGTGTCTTTTACATTTTATTTTTTTTCCGGAAGAGGATTAGGGCCTCATGTGGAAATGATTTGGAGATCTGACCAAAATAGTTTTTTTTCTGAGAATTCTGAGATTAAAGTGAGAACCAAACATTTTTTCCAAAGGTGGCTATATATTCCTCTTCCTTAGTTTTGAAAGTTGAGTTATCAATACATTTTTTCTTTACATATTTCTAAAATTTCAATCAGATCAAATCAGTCAGGTTTGTTTTGTGACTGCTATGAAAACCAGATTAAAATGTTATTTATTAGGATGACTTGAGGTTGCAGCAGTAGGTTTTAAAATGTTGACTATAGTCTTTTCTCAAGGTCCAGTTTCTATCTGAGTCTCTGGAACTATAGTAAGACCTAGAAATACTGAACATATGTCTGATAAGATAGAGACAAATAACAATTGAACAGAACTGTGATAAGATCATCAGTTTCTCTTCAGTTCATGAAGATGTGATGAAAAGTAATATTACTCCCAGGATGGCAGCTGAAAACATCAAAGCCCTATTATGCTTTTTGGGGTTTTCCCTTTCCTGTAGTGTGTTATATAGGTTTGTGTGTATGTAAATGGTCTGCAAAGGCTCAAATCCCAAAGTGTCCTCCAGAGGGAGTTTCTCTCCCACACACCCCCCCCCCCCCCTGCCTGAAACGCCTCCATTGGACTCCTTTGTTTACTTCAATAAAATTGTGATATCACTATGTAAAACTAACGCATCTATTGGCTGGCGCTCCAACACATTGTACGTGACATCCTCTATAGTAGTATATGGGCCATTCAGTCAGGTTGGAACACTTTGTCCATATATATTTTGTATCATATCTAAATTACACTTATCTAGTAAAAGAACCGTACATTTTTATATCGTATTTTCAGACTGTATTGGAATGTTCTTCCTCTACCAAAAATGGTCACTACCGAAACATAGTACATACACTATAGTAAAAAAGTATTATATTAACCTGTTAAGATTGTTTTACCTTCCCTTCTCTAAATAGTATTTTAACAAATAATTCTCAAGGGTTTTCACAATTAAATCAATGCAATTACATTTTTAACCCATTTTCAAAGTTCAATTTATACAATTCATAAAAATCATAATGCAAACTTTCTTTGTAAAATGCATAATACTCATATTGATTCCAGAGTTGATGATTGTTGAAATAGAACATACATTAAACCAATTAGTATCATATAATCTTAGTTGATAAGTCAATATACTTAATTTTTACAAAACATCCAGTGTTTCGGTAGTGACCACAGTATTTTGTTCTCAAGGTTGTATCATATTCCCTCAACCTTATTGCTTAATCTTAACTCATACCATGCCTTATGTTGAAGTGTGAGTGTTTGAAGTTACTGACCCAGAATCAGCACTTTAGTAACAGGCTGAAATAGAGGGGAATGAGGCTAGAATGGGTGATCTGTTTGGTATTTTGAGCAAAACACTTCATAGACATGTTTTTTATATATCTGAGACCTATAATATATGCCTAACAATCCAGAGTATTTTTGTTAGGTAATCTATGGTAGGGCTAACCCATACAGTGGTGGGGCTCAAGTCAGTATTTGCAATGTAATTACATACACACTATATCGCCCCCCTTGACAGTGAAACGCCATGCGTGAGGTTTAGATTACTTCCCTGTCTCAATCCAAATTGAACTGTATGAAATAAAACGGCACACAAAAGGGCGACCTGGAGCCAATCCTGCAATTTCCCCACAGGTGAAAAAGTTGACATGCTGAAAACCCAACCCCTGCATGGGGGTCTGGGGGGATTCTCCCCCAGGAGATTTTTTGAAATAAAAACATAAAATACACATTCTGGTACTCTCTTGAGAAGAAAAATAAATAAATCTATTACTACACGACATATTTAAATAAAATGAATGCCATTTTTGTTTTTTGTTACTTTGTTCTGAAAGCTGAACCTGCTGCTCCTCACTGAGAGAAGAGGAAAGAGGCTGTGTGCATTACTTTACATTGTGGATAAGGGTGGATAGCCCTCATTGTTCTGTGTGTCAAAATGAAAGACAGCCCACACACCTATCAATCATCAAACCGTGGGGTCTTATTTCATTACGTGTTGATTTCTATCAACACGTAATATTGTATCCATGGATGTATAAAGAGTAGTTCTAGCGCAAAATTATTCTCTATCGGGACTTCCTGCAACAACACCACGCCGTTATCGTGATTCTGATTGGCCAGAAGACATTATCAAAGATGTTTTATTGAGAAGACGATCACTACGTGACAAAAGTTTTCAAAACCGTTTCTAATCTTCGGCATTTCCAGACAAGTGGCTACTGAACTCATCTTACTAGCTGCTGCCTGTGCAATTTACTCGGCACGAGTTGGCAGACTTTTTTTTGCTTACTTTAACATAATTTTTCATGGTGGGGCTAAGC